GTGAGAAATAAACTTGTTGTTTGTAAGCCACTCAGTCTACAGCACTTTTTATAGCATGTCCAACTAAGACAGTGACCATACAACCAACGGTCACAAATCTGAAAACTCCAATGAGTTTTCGAGGCTATCAGATCCTAACTTTCAAACCCCAGGAAGACAAATGTGATCTTGAATACGTATGGCAAAAAAAAAAAAAAAAAAGAAAAAAGAAAGAAAGAAAAAGACTCTCTATGGCTCGTCATAAGGAAATTCCCCGTGAGGAATAACCATTGGGGGGAAATTTTTTAAAAACCTATTGAGTTAGCCTTATGTCCTCAAATATAATTTCACCCATGAAGTAAATCTGTGTTTATTATTTCAGGAAAAAATGAAGACCTTATCCTAGGAACTCTGCATTGACTATAATTCTATATTTATTAGGCTATAATTTTTGTTACACACTGCAATGTTTTACAAGGCTTTCAAGAATCTGAATATAGTAGAGACCATGAAAGTCGTCTAGCTCAACCTCCTTCCTTCTCAGATAATCAGTCTAATCGGGCCACTCCTAAAGCTAGTTGACGGTCAACTGCAAGGCCACAGGTCCGCACTGCCAGGGCCGAGATCCCTCCACCCCTCCGCAGCCTGGTTTCACTCAGGCTCCCATCCTAGCTCGCTTGTGAGTCTCCTCCTCAGCGGATGCTGTGTTGGTTGCTCGCAGGAACAGTCAGGTGTGTCAGACAGGCACTCTAGGAGCTTAGGAACGTCTGTGTGATGATGTTGAGTTCACATCACAGTTGAGCAGAGGAGCTAAAACGTGAACATAGGTGGCTTCAAAGTAAAGTAGGATGGTTTAAGGAGAGGGATAAGACGGGATAGATGCTCAAAGGAGGAAAATAGCTACTAGCCTCGGGTGGGACACCTTCCTCCAGGCAGGGCCTTGAGGGGCGAGTAGGATTTGGACGAGGCAAAGAGCCAGAGAGAAGAGGTTCGGGGCAAATAGTGGTCTAGCTTAGCTGGAACGTTGGTGGGAAAGGGAGGCTGACTCTATGTGTCTTCGATGTTGGGCAGAGTTTGAACCTTACTGTTACACGCACTTAAGAGAGGGTGATGCTGTACCGTACACCTGCGCTAAACTGATGCTCGTTATTTCCGTAAGGCTGGACATCCAGTCCTTACTTCGTATTTCTTTTATCGTTTGTAGCATCTTTCCCCAAACTGGAACATGCTACATACATGCTAGGATTGCCTGTACAAAATTAGCTTTAATATGTATTTCATCAATATTGCTGAGCCTTGGGTGCTGTGTTCTCATTTTCAAGATAAAGTTTCTGTGAACTAATTTTAGTGTTAAACTAACGAGTTAAATCCCACGAAGTTTACAAGAACTGGGGTTTTCCATGTAGAATAATAGAAAAATGAAACAAAACAACTATACTTTTTCTCTCCCAAGGTCAGCGGTGTTTGGCCTTCGGTTTCGTCTTAAGAGCTTGTTCCCGTCTCTTCTTCAACATTTGATAGGGGCAAAAAATCAAGCCCAAGTCTAAAGCGGCAGTGTAGTTAGTTACAAAAGAATGATCAACTTTTAAAGCCCTCGTTCCTTATGTTCTATCATGCACTTTCATGCGGCAAAGAAAAATCAATACCCTCCTCTGCCCCACCCTGGACAAATATTCCTCCTGACACAACTCCCCTCCGCATCCTCACCACCGACAGAGGAACCTAATGAAGCCGCCTTGAATAGTTTGTGGGGGATACTTCTGAGCCTTTTGTTGTCTCGGTGTGCTTGAAAAAAAGACGCTTGTGATATATAGCTGTAGTGTTTCCATAGAGACTCCTTACTCCCACACGACTGTATTTCAGGCGCCCTACTAATCTCCGAGGGCAATGTACAGTATGTATTTTAAAACACTGCCCTAGGTTGTCAGTTTTTGGAGGATTTGCCAAATTTCCCATCACCAAAATAAAACTCTTGTTTAACCTATAAACTCCTGAGTTTCCTGCATTCTCAAGAGAGCAGTCTCTTTTCTCTTCCAACAACCACACTGCGAGCAAAACAGGTCACTTTGAGAGGACATCCAGTGCCAATGAACTGTGATGGTACCAAACACTTCACTAGACAACAGTTTGAGGTTTTGTGATTTCCTTTGACAATGAATATTCTCTTGTTCCAACAGCAACATTAAAATTTTTTTTAAGACTTCTTGGTTTTGGAGATTCAAATGCTCAAGAGTTTAGATTCAATTTTAAAATATTTTAAATCTCTAAAAGCAAGCCTTTAAATTACCTGTTTCCAATTTACAGGTTTGTAGATTCGCAGGTATTTCTAAGTCCAAACTTTTCGATCTCATTCTCTTAGGACCAACAGTGAAACTTAACGTTAATGGTAAAGCTTTGGAACAGAATTTTTATTTGCCATAAAGGCCTGGAACGAAGTCTCGAAGTATAGCCATCGACGCTGAACATTTATTCACACCTGCTTTGCGATTCCAATTGTGGAGAAAGGTCCTTCGTTCCGCTTTGGGGAAGAAAAGTACATGCTCAGCTTTCAGCAAATGCCAGTTAAGAATATAAACATGCTAAAATTTATTTAACGTCTTCTAATTTAACTGAAGTTAAGGGCAGAGATGAGTGGTATACCTGACAGGATTTGATGAAAATGGTACTTTACCTCTGTGGTCCCCAAACACATAACCCAGTCTAATCACGAGAAAAACATCAGACAGATCCCAATAGAGGGACAATCTACGAAATATAGGCACACCTCAGAGACAGTGTGGGTTCGGTTCCAGACCACTACAATAAAGTGAGTACCACAGAGAAGCGAGCTGCAATCTTGCTGATGGAGGGGCTTGCTTTCAATTTGTAAAAATCTCAACATCTGTGAAGCACAATAAAATAAGGTATACCCGGACCTGACCAATATTCCTCCTCCTCAAAACTGCCAAGGTCATCGAAAACGAGGGAATTCGGAGAAACCGATAGCCAAGAGGAACCAAAGGAGACATGACAACTAAATATAACACGGCATCCTGGATGGATTCTGGACAGGAAGGGGACATTAGGGAAAAAGTAAAGACATCTGAATAAATATGGGCTTTAGTTAATATTAAAGAATCACTATTGGTTCATTAATTATGACCAATGGACCATACTAATGCAAGATGTTCACTGGGAAAACTATTACAAAGGGTGTATATTATAGGGGGACTCTACTACGTTGGCAATTTTTCTGGAAATTAAAATTGAAATAAAAAATGAGTGGTAATATACTGGTTTGTTGTGAAAACACCGCTTCAAATACAATAGACATAGTAGCATTACTCTTGCAGGTGGATAAACCGTGAACCCCCCAAAATTCCAGTATACTTTAAGAGGAGCACAGAGAAATCAATACATATTGAGAGTCTGGGAACTTCCTTGGATGAAGTGCACACCTCCATCATTAGTAAGGCAAAGTTTACAGGGTAACAGTAAGGCAAAGTATTGTTGGAGATCTGCCGAAATGGCTTGTCGTGCTTTAAGTCACTAGATAAAACTTCACTTTCAAACTTTAAACTAAGTATCTGTTTTACACTTCGCATTTATCAAACTACTAGTTTAAATAACATCATAATATTGGATAGTTTATAAAAGTTTATTAAATGTCAGTAATCTTTACAAAGCAAATATTAATAGCAATAAGCAAAATTTTTGCAAAATATGTACAAAAGTAAGAAGCCTTAATGAACTAGCAACTCATTTCATAAAATCAAGCTGTTCCTTCCATTTCCTTTAGAAATAATTTATTGCCAATCCTAAACTAAAGCACTGACAGAAAATAATTTACAATATCAGATAATGTGCTTTAATTCCTGGAAAGTTATAAAAAGATGCAAGTATAAAAAAAATCCTAAGCCACAAATACTTTTATACAGAGCTGATACAAAGCATGTTTTTGTTCCGTCCAGTATCTATAAGGTTGTTACGAAATATACTTTTTGAAAAGGCTTCTTGTGGTGAATAAGCTCTCACCACGTTATAGCATAGAAAAGCCACTAAAGACATTTTGCGCTTCTGCTTTCAAGTAAGAGGTAAAGAAAGGGTGAATGAAGAGTTTGTTGCATTGTTAAGTACACTTTCCAAGTTAATCCCTATCCGCTCCTTCCCTTTTCCCCCTGGTATGACTGAGGACAAATGCATCCCTTCCTATGGCAAGAAATAGTATAACACGCTTCCAAAATACAAACCCAATTCAGATACCAAGCAGCATATTTCTACCATGACATTCACTGATTAAAATTTAATGCATAGTGAGTCCTGGGACACTTTAATCCATCTGGAAATTTTCAACAGCAGATTTGGATAAGGCGCAAAATCTCTTTTATCAACCCAGAAAATACTGGCCTATCATTAATGCTTTTTGATCCATATAAGCTCTGGCATTTGAAAGTAGATGGTCCGGACTGGATAACACAAGAATGAGCCTATTTATTGAAATGCCAGCCATACATTCAAGCACAGACATAAGCATGCTAGTGTTGCACACTGCACGGCAAATGCGGCCGACAGCCAAGTGCCAGCCTAGCGCCAGTGTCAACTTGCTGGTACTTGAAGAAGCCATGAGGTCCAACTTGTTAGTTTAAAATACCCAGGCTTAGACTTATACTTCAATCTCTAGTATGAATTTATTAAGCCCTAACCTCGTACCTTAATGTAACGGGTATATACTGTTTCATTTGCTTTATTTAGAACATGGAGACACATACACACCCACTCACATACAACCCTTCCCTCTCTCCCTCATGTTTACTAGACCCAAAAGCCAACCTGTTTCCTATCGTTAAAAAAAAAAAAAAATCAGTACTGTTAGTCAAGCAGCACAACACATGGACAGATCATGTGACTAATGGAACTTAACCTGTTGGAATGACGGGAAAGAGAAAGTGACCCAGCACTAAGATCTCCAACTGAAAAATACACATGAAAAATGTGTTCTTGAGTCCTCACATAAAACTGAGAGAAATGAAAAGGTAACAGAGTGACTTTCTCTAGATTTATTAGGGAGTTTGTTACAAATATTTGATGGAGCTTTACAGGCATGATTTCAAGGATTCAAACAGAAATTAAGAGTTAACACTGATATTTAGCCTTCTCATTACACATACAGAAATAACATTGCTACAAATTGCAATGGAGAGAATTTTGTTTCAAACGGCTTGGTTTGGGGTTTTGTCTAAATGTATCATTATATAATGAAAGCACCAATTTGAGGGCTTCTCAAATAGCGATTTGACTTTCAGAACACAAGAGAACATAACTTGGTAACTTTATTCTTCATATAAATAAGGCATAACCGGATATGTGTGCTAATGGCTGAAAATACATTTCATCAAAAGCATAAATACAAGTATTTGGGTATACATTGGGAAGGTAAGATTTACTCATTCTTTCTTATAAAAAATTAGAGAGCATGTGAATTCTGTTGAATCTAAATCAATACTTCTAATCATTTCTGGTATTACGGTCATCTTCCTTCCTTCCTTCCACTTTAAACCAACCACTGCCACCGACTGAACGAGGATTTCCCTAAACTACCTACCTCACTTGAGGGATTCACCAGAGGACCGTCACTCTGTAAAACACATGCCAACGAAACTTCAAAGAAACAAAAGCGAAGAATCTTTTTCACTCCACCTTGCCTTCGTGGGTTGTGACTGCTCTCTAGCCACCAAGTGCCCTTTGCAGACAGTAAGATTGAAATAAAGATTTCAACCTAATATTTGGCAGAAAGCAACAATTCAGCTTATTAAAAATAATATCTTCTAAGGCGTGCAGAAGTATGCCTTAAATTATTTGGATATTCAGAAAACATTTGACAAAACATTTCCCTATAAAAATCAAGGCTTAAATTTGTGGTGTTTTTTCATTTATAAGGCAACTGTGTATACTATAAATTTTTTCAAGGTCAATGAAGACACTTGTGTGATATTTCCTAAGAATTAAATGAGAAGACATTCAGGTTTACGAACAGAATGTAATATAGAATTAGGCACATTTTATTCCAAATCATAACCATGAAGACTTAGAAAACCTAACACATCAAAAACCTTTCAATTTAAATCACTTTTTTAGAGATTATGGGGAACCTGGCACAGTGAAAACTAAACACCCTTTTAATTTTGTTCATTAAATTTCACCTCCCTCTTTATATAGTGGTATTTCAAAAGGATCTGGTTTTCATGATAAAGGTATAATGACTCCTTCAAATGGTTTAAAAAATACAGGATATAAAAAGTATGGACTAAAGCTTTCAGATTGAATCTTACAGTTCTACTGAGTGTCTAAAGAAGCCTGTCATTAAATATAAGTAATTTACTGCCTCAAAATACAGTCTAGATTTCACTATAAAAGAATGTTGACTCTGAGACATCACATGCACCAGGAAAGAAAATCGCAAATGCCCAAAATAATACCATATCTATTTGGTGTTTCAACATTTCTTGGTGGTGGGCAACGTGGGGAAACATGCCGATTTCTGCTTTGTCAGGTGGTATTTACTGTTCACATTGCCAGATCTTAAATATAATGTAAATAGACTAAGTTTGCTCTTTACACAGGGAACTTACTTCAGCTTTCGCTGGAGTTAAATATTGTTTTGGCCATTCAATAAAACTCTGCTAAATTTACACTCAACCAAAAAGTCTAAATGTCATCACCAGCACTGAAATCATTCTAACTGGATTTGAACAAAGTATTCTTTTTAGAAAGAAGCACTAGCTGTGAAACTATGCAAACACAGTATGCACGACCTATACTATGAACTGGCTTTATCATGCTGGGCTACAGACCTGTAGGTCATTATCACCAGGGCCTGAAAACTCTAGAAGTGATCAAGGACATGATTCATGGGGTAACTTCAAATGCAAGAAAAGTCAGTCCCTGTTTTGCTCGCTGAAAAGCCCTACTCTCACACTAGACAGCAAGACAGACCAACAGCCACTGTTCTGGAAAGGCTGGGTGACTTACATTGACTCATCTTTCAAGAAATTTCTAGCCAATAACATACCTGAGAACACAGTCAGCTATAAAGTGATAGGTACGGTCCTAATCACAATTTTCAGGATAAGGAAAAAAGCTGCCAAACTTTCCAGACTGCCACCAGTCTCGTCCATCTGTTTCTCTAATCCAACCCTAACACCACGCACAATCTACAAGGCAGTACTTCCAGTAGAGCAAACCAGCCACGGTGACAAGTTCGCCGGGAATGGGTTTGTAATCACAAAGCTACTTCTTGGGCATGTTTTCTTTTGGTAAGTGATGGAGGGAGGTTAAATGCAATCATCTTTTAGTGTGAACTAAAAAAATTATTTACTCTTAGTAGTATCCTTAAAACACTCCAAATGTACATCAATAAAGCTGGAATTTCATAAACAATGATACAAACATGTACATACTATGTCTTTTAGAGACTACTAAGAATGATCAAGAATCTGAAATAATACTATCTTGAATAGTTTGACAAGAAAATACTGTCACTGGCAAGCTCCAAATGAACAAAAATCCCATAAATGCCACAGTCTGAGTTGATGGGAATAAGACAGGAGCACAAAAGAAAGATGTTTGTGATGGGCCAACACTGACTTCCTACAGTAAGGCCCCAAATCATCTGAGACAGATTTAAAAGTCTGAGAGTAAAACATGTAACATTCTAGAAAGGGTATGTTTATTCCGAAAATTCTGTTATCAACCAGTTGCTTGCCAGTTTTAGATACTGCTATGGCCAGAATGTTTAACATATGGCACTTTTGTCACATGATATTTAAATATGAAAAGGGCAAATTATATTTCACTAATAATTTTGATCAAAACACTATATATGGCACTTGCTTGCCTTGTGCTCTCTCGTACCATTTGTGAACTTTTATTAGCATCAAACCAGAAATCCTTATGTAAACTTTAAAACACTAAAAACATTACCTTTAGAAACCACAGAAACTGAGAAACAAAACAACCGATGTATATAAGCAATTAAAAATACATGAAGGCTAAATCTGTGTCAATCTACAGAATGTCATTTCTAGGATCGAAATGTTTTCCAATAGCCCTTTCAAAATAAGTCACCATAAAGCTAGGCACAAGTATCGCTGCTATGTGCAGGGCAGACAAAAGATATCTTACTTGTTTAAGAACTGAATATTCTTAATCTCATACCTACAAATATTTAAGGACACCTTCTATACTTGGCACTACAGGAGAATTCAGTCTGAAAAGTGGAAGAACTTAAAGCCCGAAATATACCTCATCTGAGGTATGGCAGGAGATTACAACTCCACTCTAATGGAAGCCACAGTGAAGCAGATCAAAGCCTGAACTTCAGCACGCACTGCCGATGTCATTCAGTAGCTGCAGCCACAACCAAAGTCCGCAGGAGGAGGACTCAGATTTCCAAGGAGTTAAACATAGAACCAAGGTTTTTCTAATTCCTGTTGTAAACTATTTTAAAAAACAAAACAGAAAACAATCAAAAAGACAAAAAAGGTATTAAAATAGCCAGTCTTCTGTACATCACTGTAGCATGAGCTGCTTGAGGTTGTCATGAAGGATAGTATCCTTCACGTCGCGGAAAACGAGGCGGATGTTCTCCGTGTCGATAGCAGTGGTGAAGTGGTGGTACAAGGGCTTCTGCTGCTGGTCCCGGCGTTTGTTACGGAAACATTCCACCAGGAATTTTTGGACGTCTCTTAAGCAGTGGGGATCCCCTTCAAATTCTAAGAAATAGTCTTTGATGCTCACAATTTGCACTTTCTCCTCAAGCAAATCTGTCTTGTTTAAGAAGAGAATTATGGAGACGTTGCTGAAAACCCGGTTATTGACGATGGTTTCAAAAATGTTCAGAGATTCTGTAAGGCGATTGGTCAGTCGATCTTCCATAAGCACCTGGTCAAATTCACTTGAGGAAACAAGGAAAAGTATCGACGTCACACTGTCGAAGCATTCAAACCAACGTTTTCTTTCTGATCTTTGACCACCTACATCAACCATTTTAAAAGGAACATTTTTAATTTCAAAGTCGTACTCATGAATGCCTTTGGTGGGCCTTCTGGCAAACAGAATATCTTGTTGTGACGGAATATAATCCTGGAAAAGAAAAAAAAATGGTTTTCTACTCAGCAATCTAGGAGGAACCAGACCTGTTAATGTTCTACAAAATGACCCAGGGAATGGATATGCAAACAAAACTATCCTTTTAACTCTTTTCCTGTTTGGGAAAAAAAAGTGCAGCTTGCTGCCCGTGTTAATTTAACATCATGCATAGGAATGCTACGTCTTCTAGGATTTGACATTTTCAGCGATCAAGAATTACTATATTTTGTAAATGGAAATACCACTACTAAAAGCAGGATGCTATAAATAGAACACTGTCATTTGTTTCCAAAGACAATCGATATACTAGAGCGATGCTAAAATAATAACATAAGCAAGATATTTCGTGGCAAACTTTGGGGGTAAGGTTTGGGCTGTGATCCGCGAGTTATCTCGGGGTAAATGCAGCCGCAAGCACTGCTGGTGAGTATTCTCAGGGCAAATGGGAAATGGGTTAATGACATCTACTGCTAATATTAAAGCCCCAATACTATTAAGTGTTCTCATTATAAAATGCCAAGATATATTAAAATGCCAGTGTATAAAAACTGGTTCAAAATTCACTGCAAATGAGCAGCACCTGCTGTTTTTATCACCTTTGCAATACTACGCATATTTAGGTCTTATCTACCAACTATCCTCTGCTGAGTGTCTACTTCAGTATTGCTCGCCATCACCTAGTCTTAGTTTCAGCCAAACTGACCTCACTGCTCACATGTCCACTTGCTCCTTGTCTCCCTAAAAGCAATGAGGTCTGAAATGTCAATTCATGAAAATCACTTCCCAGTGCAAGGTTCTGCCTCTCTCTCTTGCTCTCTAGCCCATTCTAAACATTCCTTTACTGTGTGCCCGCCTGCAGGACACACAGTGCTCACTCCGTGTTACTGTTGCTGCTTTACTATGTGTGTGGAAAACACTTCCCCTCCTATAACTAATCAACTGAATTTACTCTGGACCACTTCCTAGGTTTGTTTCCAGGGAACAGTGAAGCTGTGTTCCAGCTTTCTCATCTACTGACACAAGTAGCCACTTACTCTGTCACCCCTTTACCTGTGAAAGGAAGGTGACCATACCTGGCCTACCTGCCTCTGACGGAGAGTTGTATGTTATGCAAAGATCAAAAGAGCCTTTCTCTGTGAACAGGATGAGACAGTCCACAGCTGCTGGGCGCACTAGCTACCCGAGCTACCCGCCCCTCGACAGCACACTTCCTGATGCAGCGTTAACGGGTTCTCTCTCTGCTCAGGCTAGTACTTCCCCAGAACTCTGACACGGTTTTTTGGCAATACCGAACAGGAGAGCTTTTAATGCTCATCATCAAGGTCAAATAGTTTTAAAAAGCAAAGCGAGATTTTAAGACAATGCTGACTGTTATTCACAATGCTGTATTTTATGCCTTTCCAAATAGTGAAATATGATTTTAAAATGTCATTACAATGTGAAGACTCATCTCCTAAAAATGGTACATTGGAGTTAAGAATAAAAAAAAGTAAGCAGTCCTCAGTTATCTGTAACCCACAACAATTTATTAAAAAACTCCAGGACTCCGATAAATGTGCTGGTGTCTCCATGTTTTCTCGTAGCTTCTGCTCACGTAACTACCTACTTTACTCATAGTCGGCATACTCACACAATTTTTATAGTCCCCCCTTCCCCACTTTTTGCCTAACATTAATCATGAACTGTTCTACATGCTGATACAGTTGTATTTCACTTTAAAAGAGTATAAAATATATCAAATGGATTGTGATATAATTTACAAACACATTCTTTAACTAGTGGTCACTTAGGATGTTTCTAATTTTTTGCTTTAATAGCAATGCTGCAATTAAAATTCTTGGGCAAATACTTTTTTTTTTCTTTTGGACTATTTCCTGAGCCTAAATAACCAGGAATAAGATTATGAGATCAAAGGTTATAAACATTTTGATGACCCTTAATACTTGATTGCTTTCTAGAAAGATGGTATCAATTTACTGTGCCTTTGGTGTGCCAGCTGCTTCATAAACACGCTAGCCCTGAGTTGCTCTTTTTTAAGATAATTTTTCTAATTCCATAAAAATAAAAAATTTTTTAAAAAAGTTCTTTGTTATTACTTTAATTAGGAGCTAATAGTGTAGTTAGGAAGCTAAAAGCTAATTCATATGAAGCATAAAACATAGGACAATGTAATGAGATCCTAAATGGTCTGGCAGCAATAGTGGTTAGCACTGTGAATTCGAGAGCCAGTACTCCACATAGCAGCAGTGACCTTGGACAGGTCATTTACCCTCTCCGTCTCAATTTCCTCATTTGTAAAATATAATGACATTCATAGGGGTGCTGTGAGGACTAAATGAGTTAAATAGATGAAGTGCCTAAGAACCATGTTTGACAAATATGTTATGTGTTACTAGTCTAGCTGTTCCTATAGCACCTGCCACCACCACCACCACTGCTGTAGAGGGGAAATCAAGAAGGCTGTGACAGCCAGGTAAACTTCCATTCGAGCCTCTCGAGCGAGTCTCATTTTTAAATGCTCATCATTCATTTGCACTTGACAATCTCTTCAAAAACACAACATATTAAGAACACTCATGTTCTTCCTTACCAACTTCTGTCAGTCCAACTAGTGTGCTTCCCTTTCTAGTTCCTGCCTCAACAACAACGTCAGCGTTTTTTAAGCCTCGCCATCACCTTGGACTCTTCTCTATCATCTCCTATCTTATATGAAATCCTGTTGTTTCTTCTTTGAATCTTACACTCCCCTTTCCTCCTTATTTCCACCGTCCCCACTTTTTTTTCATCTCAGGCATGAATGATCATCTCTTCACTAGTTCCTCTGCCTTCAATGTCTCACATCTCCTGGCTCCATCTCTGACCCACTTCCAGACCAACCCCCTGCATCATGACTTCGGAACTTACGGTGCGCTTCCTTCCTTACTCCATCAGATCCAAACTGCCAACTGGCTTTCGTGCCCCTCCTTACTCCCCGTCTTCTAGAACCAGCAGACTGTTGTACACTGTTGAGGCTTGCCACAGAGCCTAATGACAGACCTGCACAAAGCTTCATGCTCTGATACCATTATCTGTCCACTGATTTCCACGACAGTGCAAATGCAATGAACAATGCATTCAAACCCAAGCTCCTGCCTTCTAGAAATCTGTCTTTATGTAAGAACCAAGAACTTCACAAATCCTTTGTCAGACAGACGTGCTGCCTAAAACTAAATGAGACATCCAGCTGTTTCCCATCTCAGTGTGCCAGATCTCCTCTTTCGATATCCAAATCAGACCTATCCTTCAGGGAGCTCAGGTTCACTTACTCTTACTGGCTAGCTCCAACTTCTCCAGTAAAAACATCTCTCTCCATTCTATGCATTAATATTATCTTCGTGATCAGTATAATTTAATCGTCCTCTGCTTGTTTTATATATATTAGTTTTGTCTCTGATTAAAATGAGTTCCTTAAATATAGGGATCAAAGAACAAAACAGCTAACAGTTGAGCATTTATTACATGCAAGGCACTCTTCTGAGAGCCTTGCTGGGTGCTATGGACTGAACTGACCCTACCCTAAATTCCCTGAAGCCCTAACACCCCTAATGTGATTACATCTGCGGACGAGGCTTTACGGAAGTAACTAAGATTAAATGAGGTCATATGGGTGGGGTCATAATCAGACAGCATTTGTGGCCTTATAAGAAGAATGAGAAATTCACTCCCCTCCCACCTCCATTGTCCCATGTGCATGCGCTGAGCAATGTGAAAGCCATGTGAAGACACAGGAAGAAGGCCACTGTCTGCAAGCCAGGAAGAGTCCTCACCAGAAATCGACCATGCTAGCACCTTGATCTTGGACCTCCAGCTTCTACGACTGTGAGAAATAAATGTCTACTGCCTAAGCCCAACCCACTCCCCCTGGTCTATGGTATTCTATTACAGAAGAGTGAGACTAAGACATCGGGTTTATTTCATCATCCATAAACTCTACGAGGTCAGTTCTCTTACTATGCCTATGACATGGATGGAAAAAAGCTAAGGTTTAGAAATGCCTAGAGTCACATAGAAGCAGTCTGTGACGGAACTGGGATTAGAACCAGACGGTCTGGCTGCAGAACCCATGTCCTTGACCCCTGTGCTGTTCTACCTACCAGAGGGTCATGGAGCTTGGCACACAGCGGGGCTTCAATGGCCCTGGTACTACAGTCAAAGATGGAGAAGCAACTGCAACCCTGTGACTTGTGTGACATGCACAGAATGGGTGGCCATCTGTAGCACACCAGATTTATTCTCCCCTCCTTCACAACTACTTGCTAATCACAGCACCTTTTTTTTTTTTTTTATCCCAGATGTGACCTCAAACTTCCTAACAAAAGACTGTAAGCAGCTAGTTCAAACCAACTGAAGCTGGCCTAGAGTTTTTCATTCAAAAGCTTTTGGCTGACTGCCTACTACGTGCCAGGCCCTGTCGTTGGGCATCAGGAACTCAACTCTTCACAATCAAAAGATGAGGTCCTTGCTCCTATGGAAAGAGGTGGGTAAAAAACCAATAACCGTATAAATAAACAAACTGTAACAAGAACAACGAAGCCTAAAAAAAGGCTGATTGAAAACAAGAATAGGGAACGTACTTTGAACGGTGTGCTCAAAGAAGGCCCATCTAATCTAAAAAGGCAAATTAAGAAGAGCAAGTCAAGTTGGCAGTTTCCGGGTGGGAAAACTTGAAGCAACTCTTAAAAATTAGTTTATCCAACAAGGCTTCACTCCATTTGTCCTATACTTAACTTTTTTTAAGGGCTTATAGTCTGACCAGATGGAAAAGTGACAATGAAATAAGTCTTAATAAAAAGTTCCACTGATGTGGACTGAGTAAACTCAGATATACATGGAGATTCCAATTTCTGGAACACCTGAGTCTAGGAAACAGGCAGAAGAAAAACATACTGGTTTAAAAGCACACAAATGTAGTTTAGCAAAATACAAAATAAGGAAAAATACAAAAATTGTCCTGCTAGAGCAAAAAGAAGGTACTTTTTCCACATGTTCTAGACACATTAGTACTTTCCTACTTGCAATGGGTTTCACTTTGTGCTTTCCTTCAGTTTTATTTTTATAGTTAAAAACCTCAAAAAAAATCATTTAAAATTTATAAAAGAAATGTGCTTTAAGAACAGGTGAACAAAGCTATACCAAATTTCACAGGTAACAAATGACTCTAGGGCAATGGCTTTCAAACATTTTCTAAGCAACAGAAACCTTCCTTTCAATGAAGTCCCCTGCATGAGTCCAGTACAGAGAAGAGACAGTGCAGCTGCTCGGCCCACAGCAGGCCCAGAGAGCAGCACCAAGGCCAGCCACGGTGCAGGGGACAGCTGCTGGCTGAGGGAGACGGGGCAGGAAAACCACACTCTCTCTAAGGGAGACCTCCTCTCCTACGTCACTGAGTCTCTTCAACAGGCCTCGGAATCTAGCCCTCCCACACTGTAACTCAATACAAAGGGGTCCCTAATTGAAAAATATCATTTGCTTAAAGGTTTTTAAATCAATTAACCAGCAATGTTCTTCCTGTTTCTGCTTACAAAGAAAAAAAAAAAAAAAGACATGAAGTAGAACAGATAATGTATAATCTCCTTTTCAAACATGAACTTCTTTCTCTGAACAGTTTTGTGCTTTCATGAAGCCGTGGACAGGGCATTCCTTAAGGAAATGACAGAGAACTGGACGATGGAGGAAAAATGAAGCAGGAACGGTTAGAATACTGCCACCAGGAAAAAGGAAGAAGCGAATAGCTTGATACATAATTTTTATAAACTTCCTAACATCAATATCCCAACTACTACTTTTGAATAGCAATAAACATTCAATTTAAAAACTTACTGGTTCTCCAAGTTTCTCCAAGTTATCCAGGAAATATTTTACAGATTCACCCTAAAAACAAGAAGAAAACAAGGTTATTAGGGAGTGGAAATGGAAGATTTTGTTATAACAGTTTATATTAAACTGTCTCATATACTTAATCCAAACAGTTTGCTTAGTCGCCAATTTCAGATTGAACAGTAACGCTGCTAAAAATGTATAAAATGTCTGCCTCTACCACAAAGTACCACAGCCCAGTTAATTTCACAAATGCTTTACATAAGTGATACCCTCAAGTGATCACCTATTTGGATAGGATTACATGTATGCCTATTGACATCACTTTATATCCAAAGGGAAGATGTAATTAAAAAGTGAAAACTGCTTTTGAGATAAACACACATCTACAACTGAAATTTAAGTGGGACTATTTTGCCTACATTTCTCTATTCTAAGTTTACACCAATGGTAGTTATCTTCGGAGACAAGAGTAAATTAGAGATGAGGCGAGAACACTAAAAAAATCTTCCAGTGACCAGCATATATGCCTGGAGATACATCTTGCTCCGGAAGATTTTCAATAATGCTGCAAGCTTCCCGTCTCCAATACGTCTTCTTTTCCTGAGACCAGCCTACTTTCTCTGAGCCCAGATTTCTACTGGCCCTCCAGGCAATTTTGAACATCTGAACTGTATGAGAATACATTCCTACAAGGCAATTTTGAACAGAAGACAGACAGATAAGAAGGTAGTAAGTGATGGTGGATGACACTGCTTTTTTTTCTGGACCTGGAATTCTAGTACAGTATTTATAGCATCTGAAAATGATTTTTAGGAAAAGGGAAAAGAAAAATCTTCGAGGAATTCATTTTAGGTCAAATCTGTACAAATATTTTGCACTGTATCATCTATTTTAATGAGAAAATAATATTTTGTTTTGATGGATAACATTTATTTGTCAAAGGGAATCTAAGCCTAACCTTTAAATAACATCAATATTTCCTTATAGGATTATTTATACAACTCAAATAAAGTTATACATTTAAAGTACTTAAGTAAAATTCAAATAAATATTGTTTCACTGAAGCATATACAAGAGAGTCTCTTGGACAAATACAGTAAAAGACAATCACGCTGTTCATGAGTTAGACCAACAAAATTGTTACCCTTTCAATAATGTGTACATTAAATACTCATATTAAATATCTTAAGTGAAATTTAACACATTTCAAAAAAGATATTTTTTGACTGGTAGTGTTGTAGATTGCACTTATTTTTTCCTTGATTTCAGAATTAATATAAATTTGACGTGGAAAATTTGAAAAATAGAAAAAGGTACAAAGAAGGAAATAGGCAATAACCATTAAGTCCACCACTCAAAGACAACCACAGTTAACATTTAAGGATATTTCCTTCTCATCAACTTGCTGTGTATCTAACATAGCAGAAATAATAGAGATAAGTCTGCATCCTAATGTTTCTACTTAAGTTAACTGTAAGTAAATTTCAGTGGTCAAAATAATTCCTAGTGTGTTTATGTTAAAAAATTAAATAAAATCACTAATCCAATGTTGGATAGTTGAGTTACTTCCTTTTTTTAGTTAAGTTTTAATATTTTAAAAATAAATACTGTTGTGATAAACAGCTTTCAGTATAGCTTAATGTGCTCTTGAATTATGTCCTTACTGATCTCAGAATTACCAACACAAAGAGGTTAAACATTAAGATGCCTACAACTTACTGCCACAAAAGATCTACTGATTCTTCCCTATCTAAGAGTTAAAAAACCTAAGCTTATTAATAGTGAAATTATGATGACTATACACCAAGCCAGTACTCACATGGGAGTATTTTGCAGATGCTTCTATAATAACCTAAGGTGCAAACTCTGAGAGGCTCCATGTTGTGATGACTGATGCTAGACTGTGTGATGCCAGAGCAAGGGAGCTAGAAAATTACATATTCCCTATCCAAAACAACAATAAAAGGTCAACTAAAAAACTATTTATTCCAATTAGCATTGTTGTTTATCTTAACTAATTGTCAAATAAATGAAAGTTAAAGTAACCTTAAGATGAACATATTACCTAAAGCAGCAAGCTCCACTCCCCCTTTTGGAAAATAAATGTTTATTCCCGACCTACTGTTTCGAGAGTATAGGGAAACTGGTATACTCATTCTAGTGACCTTGAAAATTCAAACTTTTTAGAAAATTATGAATTGTATAATTCATAAAACTTTTAATGAGCTCTTGCCCATTCTATGGAATTTATTCAACATAAAATGATACAAACAAAAAGATATTTTACTCAGTTGTACCTATGATAGCAAGATTTCAAAGTTCATTTTCCCACTTTGTAGGAGAATGATCTAATATTTTGGTACAGTAACAATAACATTATAAGTCATCAGATAAAAATTATTTTGATATATCTGCTACATGTGAAATATTTATACCAGTAAATGCCAAATTAGACTCCAAAGTGAGGGTCCTCGACAACCATGTACCCACAAGATTTTTTGTGGGCTTGGCCCTAACACTCATTTGGCAGCAAAGCCTGACCTGAATTGATGTGAGGTTCTTTATAGTGCTTATTTCTTCTACTTAGTGAAACTATTCAAATGTTTTGCTGCAAAAAATTGGATATTACATAACAAACAATACATGCACTATATTTCCTTTCTGAAATCCAAAAAGTTCTAAATTCCGTAACAAATATGAACTCAAGGATTTATGATGAGAATGTATTCTGTACGCTTTGGTTTTAGATATTTAAAAGACAGAAAGGCAATTCTGTGGCTCTGTGTGACTATATTCTATTTTCAAAAAAAAAAAAAAAGAGAAAGAGAACTGAAAAAAGAAAAATCATCCCTATTTGTTCTTCTCTTGGTACACAAACATAAAAAAAATCTTAAAAGTTCTTTTCATTGAAGCTTCCTGATTTAATTTTCTTCCCTAAGAGGGCATCTTAGATCTTTTGGGTTCAAATTACTACATGTGTTTGTTTATTGGGAATTCCTAATCACACCAAATGGTAATTACCAAAATCAAATGGTAATAATTATAGAAATATGCATATGTTCCTGTTATTAAATTTCAACTTCTACTGAAGGAAGTTTCGTCAGTATTATTTACAAAGTCCTTTGTGCACTACAGACTGTGTTAACATTAAAATATTATAACTTACTTTGACTCATTTCAACGTGTGGATTATCTCTAATATTTGAAGTCCTAAATAAGGTGCCCACTGCCAACCAACTATATTTTGTCTTCTCCTTTACCACTCAGCCAGTATCTATCTATTCAAGGAATATAAATGAAAAAGTTCGTTCATCATTTTATATCATAGATGCTACTGATTCTTTTAGTAAGAAAACAGGGTGGGAGACAAAAGAGGAGGCTCCGCAATGTTTTAATGCAAGTGATTCTGAACTAAAGCCTCATACTGCTGAGAGATCAGGCTGCCCCAAATTACACTACTTTGAAACAAATGATTTTAAACACATACGCACAAGTGCATGCAAATGCACACATGCATGTGAGAACATAAATATGCTATAAAAGGATGAATGTTCTTCTGAATTAGGTAATTTAGGGGAAATTTCTTACAGCAGATTTAGAGTTTGGGGGAAAAAAAGGGAAAACTTATCTTTTTATAATCTCAAAAAAGTTCCAAATTAAAAAATATAAAATGAGTGTTATTTGCGATTTCACCATGAGGGACGTGGAAAATGAATGACATCTCTGTTCTCAGTAAGCCCAAAAGTCTGGTCGTTTGTCACCTTGTTTGTGCTTTAGTGCCCTTATGCAAACTTTATACCTAGTTCAGTGCGTTGGCACCTGGTAGCCTCTTCTCCTTCCTCTCCAAGTGTTTGGTGAATAAAGTATGCATAACTAGGGAAAAATTTATCTCAAATATTTTTTTCTAACAGTTTCAGAAATGATCAAAAGTCTTCTAGCTGTCTAATATTAATATGAAGGGAAAGATGTGAATTCTAGTCTAAACTTCTCTAGGCCTCAATTTAATCAGCAGTAAAATGAGGAAGTTCTGTGATTCAATGGATGATCACTAAGTTCTGCCTTAGGCAACAATTTCAGATTATACAATTGATTTAAAGTTCTTCTTTCCTTAGATCTTTGTGTCTATTAATCTTAAATTCACTTTTGCTGTGACTCATATGTGTCTATTAACCTTAAATTCACTTTTGTTGTGTTGCTTAGTTTCTTGGCTAATACGGAAGAAAATAATTTCACATATTGGGCAAGAAATATTATGTGTTTAAGACACACTTTTTGTTGGTTATAACTTGAGACTCGCTCCATTTTAACTTTTCCCAGTGTTTTATGTTACTGAAGAGAATTTTTAATAAAATTCCCAAGAAAAGCCATTACTACTTTTTAAATTTAAGATGTTTTATGTCATCTCTTAGTTTTTCTTTGTTCAAAATTTTGAGATGACTTTCAAGGTTATTGTAGTAAGCCTGTAAAGTATAAAGTAGCATGGCACTCTGAAAGTCTTCCAGCATTTCTTTACCCTGTGGATATGTAAGTTCCACCTAAACAATAGCATAGCAGCCAGTGGACTTGGGTTGTAGTCACCAGATAGGCTTTGCTATTGACAATGCCAATTAACAATGGTGAGCTTATGTTAACTCAAGAATAGAATGACAGATGATATTAATTAGCTCATGTCCCTTAGAATTTAAAGATTTTATTAGTTCTATAAACTATATATTTTGTATCAACTACACAAAGGTGCATCTAAACTAGAAATGGACTCAGTGTTGCCCCCATTCACAAGAATCATGTAATACAAACATGCTTTCTTTGCTTGCAAAGACAAAACACGTCAGAGACTCTGAGTTTAAAGTAACAGAAAAGCTGAGAAAAAAAAAAAAGAAAAAATATCATTTATTAAACAAATGTGTAAAGATTTATGTGCCTGGTTACTGAACTGGTGACAGTTTTATTCAACGCTCTCTTCTGCAGCGCTAAAACATATTAAGGACTAGATTTAGAATGTACTACTTTTAAAAGGATGTGGAATTTAAGCTGGACAGCCAAAGAATACA